GGTTCGTAAGGTAAATTTTGATGTTTTGGGGGGAAGAAATCGCGACAGATTTTAGCTAAAGAGTGATAGTCGACTGGTATGTTAATTGTAAAAAAATGTGGAGTTTAAAAGAATTAATATTTCGAAGATGCCTTGAAATGCTTAAATGAAGATGACTGAAGGGTGCTAATGAGGCGATTGCTGCAGTTGGGAAATCGGCTGTGGAGCACCTTGCGGGAATTGTTCGAAACTGAAAACTACGCCGATAAAGAAGGAACCTAACAATACCATCAGTGGCAAGGTATACTTGGTTACCGCTGTCACAGTCGTATTACAGAAATTTAAGCTACTTAATGAGAGTCCTGTATTACGTATACTTAATTTTTATTATGTAACATTTTACGATTTGAAAGCTAGAGATAATAAAATCAATGAAAGCCTGATATAATAATTCCTTGAATCGATCATATTTCGAAAATTACTCCCAAATTGCAAATTATCCGAAGATTACTTCCCTCGTCCACTTTTGGTTCGCAATAATTCGTTGAGGTGCAGTTAGTTATTAAGTGGTTAATTATTAAGCGTTAGTTATTAAGGCGTTAATTATTCAGGCGTTAGTTATTAAGGCCTTAGTTATTAAAGCCTGAGTTATTAGGGCGAATAACTATGTAAAATTGTATACCTCTATCTGGCAAATGAGATTTCGATGTTTATAAAATAATGTTCTGTTACAAATAATTATAGATATATCTGTTGTGTAATCTCTCCTGAGTTTTCAGCTACAAACTTTCCCTCCATGATTCGACGATCTGGAAAGTCTCGAAAGTTGCAACATTATACATTGTATTTTTAGAGCCGACAACACTGTAAAATAGAAACGAAATTCTTGTGCTGCACTCTTACGTAGTTCTCTAGCTGACTGTTCTCTAATTTGGCAGAGGACCTCTGGGTTTTAACGGTGTCGGTATTTCAGAACATTCGTCACGGACACGTCTGTTCTTAGCGAGAATTGAGTATACCCTATACTTCATTTCTGTCACAGTCCATCAATCTTCTTTACCATCCCTGCCCATTTCGAAAATCGAGTGAAGGTTGGCCGATGTTCTGGCGACCCTACTAAACTACCGTTACTACTACAGTCGCCGATTTTACTGACTGAAGGGAACACTGATCCGTCAATAAAGAATTCTCTCACTTTATTATAGGTACAGGAATATATTTAAAAAATTCGATGCATTAAATTCACTCGTCATACAACAATAAGAGTAATCAGTCGATTCCTTCTGTTATCATTTATAATTTATACGATAATAAAATTTGAATTTATTGGCCCCCGTTCCAGAAGTTATATCAATACAAGAGACAGCCCTCCTGTTTATGTTACCTTGGCTACCCCACTGGAAGTCCTTCCACAAATCTGTAACAGAGTTTTGGGTTATATCATTGACCTTCCAGGTAAAGGGAACTTCGCAGGGACGTCTCTCATAACGGAACGCATTCGTGATCACTCAATCATTTAATACGAAAAAAAAGAAACGGTGATTTTCGCGGAGGAAGCATCGAGAGAGAAGCACCATGGGTACCAAAACTTCGGAGATATGTCGAATGTGCAACCGAGGGGTGCAGTCTTACAACATCCCGACGATGGAAATGGAGAAGAGGCAAACCTACGCTTTCGTTAAAAGTCCCAGGGCGATCCTGCACATTCAGAAGAAGTACAGGAATCCACCCGTGTAAGTACCATTTAAGTTAACAAAAGCTATGTATATACGTATATGAATCCACCGAAAGTGATAGACTTTTCATGAAACCGTCGACAAATTCTGAACAAGAAAGTACTCCGTGTCGCAAGTTTCTTTACCGTATCGCGAACCAGTCCGATCCAAGACACCGATATCGTGTCACGAAAACTATAATAACTCTGCGAGCAGCAGCAAGACCCGTGTGTTAAATGTTATCGCCACCGGAACTCATCGTCCTTGGCGGACCCACGATTGCTGTTACTCAGAAACTTCGACTCGTGCAGAAAACTGTTTTCTCAGGATGCGATAAATTATTTTGCACGACCGTTATTCATTTCGCTTAGTCAAGCTGTTCCCTCCACACCTAATTATTTATCTTTTCGACGAATTTGAGTAAATCATCGAATTCCCTCGATCAAACGATTAAATGAACTGTTCTTTCCACCGAAGCAATTATTTGTCATTTTTCTCAATTTTTATAAATCTTAGAGAATAAATCTCAATCTTTTGTAATTCCTGGTTGAGATAATTGGGCGTAGATTAATATATGCAATTAGATAGTGTTTTGATCGAAAAGCATAGCTGCTCCGAAATTTAGGAAAACTTCACGAAAGAGAGGGTTGCGGTGTGTAACTTCTACGGATTTTGCACTCGTCTATTTACGCTATTTTTATTATTTTACGCAGTAGTCTCGCAACTAATCCGGGAGAACTATACACTATCGGGTAGGTGTGATACACCCGTGACGGTATAAGCAACGGTCGCATGTCGATTACTTCGTAGATGGCCAGTAGAAGGGAACGACCGCGCGTTTGATTCTATCGTGAGTTTTCCAACTACTAAAACACTTCTCTATCACGGAAGATACGGCTCGGGAGATCGTGCCTCGTTTCTTTGTCAATAATAGACTGCGGATTTTATGCGTTTATGACAGAAATACGAAACAGTAAAATTATTAAGAGAATTTACAGTGCCCATGAAAGTACTCGTTCGCCTTCTAAAACGTAATAACTTTTTTAAAACTCAACTAAATGGCTCGAATTTTTTTTAGGTGATAGAGGGACTAGTCTACTAGACGATGACTAAAATGCCTTTTTAAAATTTTGCTATTACTTAGGATGACAAAAAAGATAAGAAACTCTCGTTTTTAACTTTTTTATCTGAGTCTATAACAAAAATTTTTAAAAAATGCTCCTCGTAGATCTCTGTAACTTATATGCGTGCTGAACATTTGATCGAAATCGGTTAACGTAAAGTCCAGCTACAGGCGTTGAAAGATTTAAAGAACTGCAGATTTCTTCCAATTTTTTTGAATTTTTTTCCAATTTCTTCCAATCGTGATAAAACTGCGATTTTTGTCATCTTTAATTTGTTATAACTTATAACAACGTCAACTGATTTCGATACAATTTTCAGCATGCATTTAAGTTATCGAGATATACAAGAGACATTTACGAACATTTTTGTGGGGAACTGCGAATATATGTTGCATTGTTTTAATCTCATTAAAGTAATTTCAGAACGAAATCAATTTCCAGCTAGTTTCTGTATTTTGTAATTAATGCAGGTAATTTTCATTCTAGAATATTTGTCGATAGTGACTTAAACAGCTGAATTTCCATTTATGAAATCGGAACTAGTAACCTGAATTATCGAATCGCATTAATTTCCAAGGAAACACAAATCCACTGCTTGAAATTCAAAATATTCATGCACAGTTCGTGTGCTGTTCGTAATCTGCGATCTCGAATCATGCGTGTCGCGTGTTCTGCGAAAACCGTCAAGGCCAGCCTCGATTTGTTACAGAGAAATTGTTAAACAATTACCGAACAGGTTGGAAAAAAAATCAATGACCAAATATAGCGCTGCGAAAAATGTTGCACCGGATACAAAAATATAAATATAAAATACAAAAATTATTGCGTCCTAATAATAGCTAGAATAAATCAGCGGTAATTTGTGGCTGTTCTGGCGTAAAAGATTTAACAATCCGATAAAGACATCTTGAATTATAGATTTCAGTTAGAGCAAGTTTTCGGGAAATCTCTTCTAGCGAACAGAATGATTTATTACAGGGTGATTCAAAATATTGTATCTTGCTGAAAGTCTTAATAATGTGAAGCAAAGTTTTTATTCCAGAAAAATTTGTATTTTAATATTATATAAATTCCATTGAATTGGAACCTTCCCCTTTCAAAATCTTTCTTCAGAGAGTTCTTCTCATTTGAACATTAAATGTGAGAACGTTTTTTAAAACTCTTGTATGGTGTTTCGGAACTGTATAATCCAAATCATATATTAGACTTTTGAAAAATTTGTATAATTACCACCTTATTGAAGACGTATTGAAAGAATTGCCTAAACTCTTTACTTTCTTTTGAATTTTTAATAACTTGGCATAACCTTGACATAAACTCTTTACTTTCTTTTGTATTTTTATATCAATTGCTACATCTTTGCATACAATAATCTTAAAAAGATTATATATATTATTTATATTATATTATTATTATTATTATATATACTATTATATTATTATATTATTATTTATAGATTCTATATATATACACACATATATATTATTAAATTATATTATCATAGTACTGTTACGATACTTACATTCACGATTCCTGTAAGTTTTCACGAACAGCGTACGAGAGTTAGAAACATCGATCCCAAAAACTGCGCCAAATCTTTCGGACGCTCGAAACCGAGAGCAAAACTTCCTTTCCGCTTAAAAGAGAAACCACAAACATTCGCTTAGAATAAATTCCATCTGAAAATTTCATGAGTAGTCCGACCCGATGTTATATGGCAAGCGGTCAATCGACCGATTGGCGCACGCGACCGAAGGGCCCGTCGCGATTTATCGTGCGAGGATCTCGCCAAAATCCGTTTCGCCGTTTAGAAATATGTAGGCGGAATCGAAAAGTCGGCTGGTGGACGGAATGACGCAATTAGTACGGAGCCATTAGTCTCTTCGAGGGCAGGTAAGGCACGGTGAACGATCGTGGTTGAAGCGTGTTTCACCTTGAAGAGAGTTCCGCTGGGTGGGGGAGTGCAAAGTTCACCCCGGGGAAATAGCCGGCAGCTTAGCCGGTGCGGGAAACGTGGACGGACCTACGTGGTCATAGTTACCACCGATTTCGAGCCCCTTCGGCATCACTTAGGCATGCGCAAAGTTGACGATGGTCAGCGTTATTGAGTGGCCGCTCGCGCGGTAAAAATATATGTACGCGCGCCCTGTCTGCGGTCTATGTCGGTCGATTCTAAGGACATTGTCCAGTCTCTGAACTCGGCCGCGGTGTTGCGAGCCGGTTAGTAAGGCCGTGAACACCGCGCTGCCATCCTCGCAGTCACTTGCCGCCTCTCCGCGACCAAAACGTTTATGCGACATCTCCTCGACGACAGTTCCCTCGTCCACGAAATCGCTCGAGGATCTATCGGAGCGGATCTATCAGGAAAAACGTGCAAGTCGCTCCAAGCAAAGAGAGAGAGAGAGAGAGAGAAAGAGAGCAGCTTCTCTGGCTGACCATGAGCGGACCGATTCCACTGTGAGGATCGAAGAGGATCGAGGCTGTCCGCGCTTCTCGCCGAAGCTCTTGATTCTTCTTCAGAGGAGAAGCTGGACGAAGATGAATGGTTCCCGCCGCGATCGGAGGGTGCTCGAAGGGGAAGCCTGGTCCGCGGACTTGTGAGACAGAAGACATGCCGGCCGAGATATCCTCGCTGGCGCCGATCGCCAACGGGGATCCTCTCGATCGCGAGCGGAAGAATCCCCGAGCGTTCACGATCCTGCAGAGAGATGGGCTAGATAGCAACCTTCCGCTGCTCCACGTGAACGGGAACGCGAAGGGGTCAGAAATCTTGCAGTTCGAGGATAGCATCAACAGTTTGATAGACCGGAAACGGCTGAGCAGATCGAACGATCATCTGGTCCAGGCTGCTCTGCAGTCGTCCCACGCGAATCCCGTGAAGAAGAAGGCGAGGAGCAGAAGCCAGGACAGCCTCCGCTCGCTGGAGAAGGTGCCGGCGATCAAGCCGAGCATCACCCTGTCGACGGAGGACTTCAACGAGGTGCTGAACGCGAAGTTGAAGAGGATCCAGGATCAGGAGAAGGAGGAGCAGCGCAAGAGCGCGAGGCGGGGTCATACTTTTCATAAGAAGCCGTTCATCACGACGGTGAAGACCGGCGAGTTCTTGATGCCGCCGCCGGAAGTCGCGGCTCTTCTTGGGATCGGGCCCACGGAGCCCGAGGAGATCGAGCCTTGTCCTCTTCGATCGAGATTCAAGTCTCTGGTGGCGCTGGCCAGGAAACCGGAAGTCCGGCACAGCAGCCACAATGCCAGGTGCCCGGCAGCGCTCAAGGCCACAGTCGATTTCACTCTCGGAATGATGAACGCGTCGACCATGGCTGCCTCGACCTTGGAGGAGCGCTCCAAGAGGAGCGACGCGAAGTAAGTTCTTCGCCGCCGGAAGTTCGTGCCTCTTTATGCACTTCGGAACGCTTTCGGGGAAGAGGAAAGCAAATAACCGATGGTAGAATGAAGTTCGGAAGACCGAAAGAGATCGCAAGCAAAAGTTGCGATGGCGAGAAGAAAAAGTCCGAACGATAAGGATCGATTTGAACAGTCCTCGCGTTTCTGCCAGTGTCGGGAGTTCTAGAAAAAGTTGAAGTCTGCTGGAAATCGTGATGAAAACGCTGGCGAAGTTTCGAGTGTATCGATCGCGATGCAAAAATCCCGGTTTGTCGCGTGTCGCGTGTTTATCGTTCCATTCTTCGCTGATTTCTTATCGGCCTCTCCGCTTGCCTCGCGGGCTCCTCGTAAAACGATTATTTATTGCTCGCCGGAGGACATTCGTTTTTTAACTAGCTAATGGAATTATTGTTTTTCTCGGTTTCAGCGATCAACCGGTTCCTTTGGGGAACATCATGTTTGACCGGCGAGTCGTACGCGGGAGCACGTACGCCACTCCGCCGACCCTCGTAAGTCGATCTGTTAATTATTTAACACACTTGGGAAACGCGAAAACGGGAATAGCTGTTCTGAACTGCCTCTTGGAAGTTGCGAATGAGAATCTTCATTAATTGAACTGTTTCGGTAGCACTGAATGGGAACATCTGCAAACAGGTCAGGAAATCTTGGAAAATCGGTGTAGAGAGGAAGCTTCGGTTTTCAAATCTGTGACAGATTCAGTCTCGGAAAAATTCTTTTAATAACTTTAGAGAGGTTCGAATTTGTACCATTTTCAACGAAAAACGTGTCTTCAGTTTCCCATCCTGTACATCGTGCAAAAATCTTTCATATCAAAGTGGACGTCGCATGACGAAATTGGAGACTTTATGCTTTAAATATGCTTTATATAAATAAATAAATAATAAATTTCAATTTATTGAATTAATTTAAATAAATAATATGCTTTATGCTTTAAATAAAGTCTTCAGTTCCCGCGAAATGATCACAGTTCAATTATTCTCAATTTTTCGAAAAATTTCCAATCCGATCGGATCCGCTAGTTGCTGTATGTTCGAGTTAACTCGTCTTACTCGGCGAAGGCATCGAAGAAAGATCGATGCAGCTAAGAGCGTTCACGGTAGACCGAACAAAAATCGAAGAAACGGTGGGCAAAGTTCACCGTTCGCAGTCTATGCACGGAGAATTTATTAGGGCGAACATTCGCCGCGCGCCGCGCTCCCGGAGAAATATTTACGTACATGTCGTAGATCGATGGTGAACAATCGATAGCGGCCAGGCAAGCGGAAGCTAGGAGGAGGCATTTGGTGAGGAAACGCGCCCAGGCGCAGGCCACGAAAGCTCTGATTTTGAGAGCAGGGTCACCGCCACCGGTTCCAGGCCGGAAACACGAGCCCGTGCAAACCGAAGTCTTTCTCGAGGAAGTAATAGCTCCATCTTTTTAACAATAATCCTCTTTGCTCGAATGATCTTATTTAAATCGCCGAATTCGACAGCTGTACGACAAACCGGACGAATTCGACGTCGCGACGCAAACCGATTACTTCTTGGACAGACCTCCGACTCCACCGTATTGTCCGCCGAAAGTTGGCCAGGATGCCAGCACGCAAATCGAGCCCGGTGATGTAAGTAGCGAAAACAATAACTCATTTGATGGTAGTTAATAATTCACTTTGTGATAGGAAATAGGTAGGAAATAGGAGATTCCTTAACAATAATTATTAGACCGAGGAATTTTGTGCACCCGTGCCATTTAGCAGTCCGTGAAATTTAAGGAACTGTGCACAATCTCAAATCCTGTCGCTGGATTAACTAATTACGTGGGTTTATAATACAGATGACCAGATGAAATATCAAAGTGTAAAATCGCTAGGAAAATTTAAAAACATTGCTATCTTCTTTTCAATTTAGTACTACAATTCGTATACTTCAATATACTGCTACAATTTACTATTTATTATTAAAAGAAAAAGTACATTTTCAATTTTATAATAATAATTTATTAATAATAATTTTATAATATCAAAGTGTAAAATCGCTAGGAAAATTTAAAAACATTGCTATCTTCTTTTCAATTTAGTACTACAATTCGTATACTTCAATATACTGCTACAATTTACTATTTATTATTAAAAGAAAAAGTACATTTTCAATTTTATAATAATAATTTATTAATAATAATTTTATAATATCAAAGTGTAAAATCGCTAGGAAAATTTAAAAACATTGCTATCTTCTTTTCAATTTACCAGTGTTACAATTCGTATACTTCAATATACTACTACAACTTACTATTTATTATTAAAAGAAAAAGTACATTTTCATTTTATTAATAATAAAATTTTATAATAATATATTTGAAAATAAATTTTTCTTTAACGCGTTAAGCGCGGAGCCGATTTTGCAGGGCTTTCTGGTGAGGTGGTTTATACTTTTATTTTACCTTCATTTTTAAAATTTATACCTTGATACCGTCGGCTCCATGCGCCGACGCCGTCTAAACGATAGGTTCGCTGTCTATCCCTAAGAACTGACGCCAACCAAACGAAGAGTATACTGTTAGTCCAAAAGGACTGACACCGCCCCTAACGAAGAGTCACTTTCAACCCCAGGGGACAGACGCCACGCTTAACGTCCTAACATTAGGACAGCCGAGCACTAAAATTGCTATTGCTGTGTTGCTACAAAAGTAATTTCGGTGTTTCTGCAAGCTATCTATTTGGAAACCCGAAATTACTGTTGCAAGAATCCAACAGTTCGCATTGCTTTTTAAAAATAAGAAAACCGTATTTGCAGAGATATATCGCAGGACTTCTATATTAAAATATACTTAAATAGATTTACAAATGCAGTGACTGTTCACAAAAAGGTCTTCGAAATTTCGATGGTTAAAGATAAGGAATCTGGAATCCGCCATTTTGTCGGGATTCGTTCAAGCGTTTACGAGGAAACGATTGATTGCAGCTCTTCGACTTCGACTTCGAAGTGCAGCCGATCCTGGAGAAGCTCGTCGGGAAGACGATGGAGCAGGCGTTGATAGAGGTCCTCGAGGAGGAGGAAATTGCGGCTTTGAAGGAGCAACAGAGAAAGTTCCTCGAGCTGCGTGAAATGGAGAAGGCCGAGGAGCGGCGGCTGGAGGAGCAGGAGAGGCGGATAAGACAAGAAAAGGTAAACTACTAGGTGCGGCAAAATTGTTTCTGAAGAGTCTCCTACAACTTGGAGCATTTAACCGACAGGACGACAGACTGAAGCAGCACGAGACAGCAATGATAGCTGACAGGGAGACGGAAGAACGCGTGGCCGCTGCGACATTGCTCACCGGCTACATCGCGGAGCTGCTTCCGGCTGTCCTCGAGGGGCTGAAGATGTCCGGATTCCTGCTGGACGAGATCAAGGCCGGTTCGTGAACTCGCAAGAACACACTGCTACTTTTTGTGCATTAGTTAATCTGAAAGGTTTATTAATTTTTCTTTATTTACACCTTCTAACCAGCTCGGCATCGAAGCACGTACTTAATCTTGTTGAACCGAATCTCGATCTCCTCGGCTAGTAATTAACCGCATGTGTCTCTTTACGCAGACGTGGAAGAAGGGTTCGTGCCTTGGCTAATGAAGGAGGTGAAAAAGGAGATCGGCAACGTGGTCGAGAGCAGGGAGCTACTTATGGGTAAGCATGGCAGCTTTCGTTGGCACGTTGAGAAAGGATGAAACTTACGCCATCTAGGAACTCGGTCCAAAATGGCGGTGTCGGTGGGCTGGCCACTTTGGGCACTGCTTCGTGCATTGTCCATGCTGGCTTTGTAGCCGCTTAAAGTCTGAAACTGGCAACTCCTACGTCGACTACCATTACCCTGTAGAAGCCAAAAGTATCTAAATACGCTAACGGATTAGAATAAGCCTCAGGTATAGCTATCGCATTACTGTCCGGTGCCGGTCTGGCGCGACGCATGCCCTTGCTGTCTTCCCGGTCATAAATAATCACTGGGCTCGACCGGCTTCAACTAGGCTCCTCCGCCTTAACAATTAGAGATGACAATACGGAAGGCTCGGACGATATTTTGCAGACCCTCCAGTTTGGAAAGTACCCGAAGAATTAGTGAAATGGGTCTATCAGGCTCAATATGCCATCGAAACCGATTTTATCGCCCACTACACACTGCGGCAAGACATTCCTGAATTTCTTTTGCTTCTTAAAACCACGGACGTGTACAAAGTTTTTGCATATTAAGATGGTAACGGTTTATAAGAAAAACGGGTGCGATAAAACTATAAGACAGTTTGGGTTTTCCGTAAAAAATCAGCACATAGAATTCTTTGTGTTACTATGCTATAACGTGTATTTTTTTATTCTTCCTTTTTACTATTTTCAACACTCCTTTTGGTAGAGATTTATACAGTTTTTTAAATTGTGTTCTGTTTCTTTTTGTGTTTTGTGTTCAAATTTTTCCATATATCCTCAATGAACTTTTTAATTCTTCTATGGTGTTAAATTGCTTTCCTTTTGGGCATACTTTCTCAGCTGGCATTCCCGTACAATTTTCAATAATATTCAAATCCTGCGATCTTGCTAACCACGATAAAGGATCTATATTATTATTTTTAAAATTAGCTCGCGTTATTCTTGCACTATGCACAGTTGCGATATCATGTTGAAAGATATACTTTTGTTTAGCTATTTTTTCTGCATATTTCGATAGTTGCCTATTAAATATATTAAAAAAGTTCTAGTATTCATTTTTGTAGAAACAAATTCAATAGCCGCCTTTCCATAGTATTCTATAGCTACCCACATCGTAATAACATCGCCACCTATTTGCCGCCTTTGCTACACGATTTCTTCTTTCCTCAGATCAGGAAAATAATAATTTAGGACATCAGGACCATCTAAATTAAAACGCTTTTTATTAGAACAGATCATCTTTTCTACTTTTTACCTCAATGTATTCGATGCTCTGCAAATTCCAATCTGGCTTGTTTATGTTCATCAGTTAGTGGCGGTTGCTTCTTCATTTTAACCCTTTCCAAATGCTTAGAAACTTTTATTATCTTTTGAACTGTCCGAATACTCGTTCTCACATCGAATTTCACTGCTATTTGTCATGCTGTCATTGTAGAATTTGAAGCATATATTAAAATTTGTCACCTTCCTCGCACAGGTCATTTTTAACATATTTTTCTTCATTTTTTAAATAGTTATAAACAGCACAACGATTTCTCTCCCTAATAGATGGGTACTGAATTTTTTTGCACCGAATAGTTTTCCTTCTTGAGATTGTTAATTACGCGAAATTTTGTATAATCAAATACTATTGCACACACAATTTCGCGGCTAATAACAACAATTGGAAAAAACAAAAATCTCTTTTCGTAGTATTCAGTTTGCTCATTTACCCGAGGCTGTCTTATCGAGGATCGAGTATTTCATAGAATTATATAGAATTTTTCGCAATCTTCGCACAAAGAACGAGAACAGACAGCTTCCTGAGCACCAAGAGTGTTAAGAAGTCTTCAGACTTTCAGCTTCAAACGGGTCAATGAGTCTACCAGGTTTAGCAAAATTTCGTGCATCACAGATACACATTTTATCGTCTCCTACAAACAAGATCAACTACAATAGTCTATCATTTTCATCGACATCCGCTCAAAAGATGAAGACAGACAATGCTCTGAGCACCCGAAATATTAAGAAATCGTCATGCTTCAGATGATCACATCCGGATATCCTTCCTAATTTTGCAGAGATCGTCACGGAGATCCTGGAGAACCGCGCGGAAACGTACCGGAAGCTCGGCGAAGAGTACGACGCGATAAGAAGCAAGAAGCTATCCCCGAGGAACTTGGAAGACGGCGGCTGCGACCCGAATTTCGTCAATTACCAGCCACCGGCTGTCGAGAACGCGGACGCAATCTAGCGAAACGTAGGTGTTTATTTGTTCTCGAATCTCTGTTCTCTTGCCGGCAGCGCGTGCGAGCGTTTGCCGAGCATTTTAACGCTGCTTGATCTTCGACAGAGAAACGAGCGTATCATCGTTAGCTTTCGGATTTAGGGACACCTTACCAGCACAGGAGCAATCCCCGCCCCGCCCCCGGTGGCTTCTACATTAAGCAGTGTACACAGCTGCGAAACAAATCCATCTCCTCGGGGCTGCGGCCTGTGACAGGTCGCCGCTACCGATCCCCTCGGCAAACACGAGCCACCACTGCCAAAATCCATCAGAAATTAATTATCGATCCTTCTTCCGCAGATTGTTCCGAGAATTTTTATTTCCTGTCCGCGCGACAAGTTTATTCGATGCAAAATGAAAAAGTGGAACCACTGGCTTAATCGTTACCGAAAGTAGAGATACAGTGTTCTAGCAGTAACAAACATTATTTTTGGAAACAATTTCTTAGCTGTTGTTTAGTGAAATAATCGCTCCGACGTTCCAACAAAATTTGGATCGCTTGGTCCAATTATAAGATTGTTATTCCGTTTTGGAAAATGTAAAAACACCGATTGCAGGTTATTCGAACAGTTTACATTATATTCTTAAATAATAATATAGTAATATAATAATATAATAATATATAATAATATATTATGTGATAATATAACTATAATATATTAATATAGTAATATAATAATATAATAATATATAATAATATATTATGTGATAATATAACTATAATATATTATATATTATAGTATAATTATAATATAATATAATATTATTAGATAATAATATACTGTAAACTGTTCGTTTCATTTCTCGCCGAACTAACCATAAATATATTTGTCATTCAAGAATTAGCTTCAGTCGGTGTACAAAGTATTCGTACACATTTAAAGCGGACTAATTATTTTATAATTAGACCAAGCGATCAAAATGTTTTTAGGACGTCAGAGANTAAAAACACCGATTGCAGGTTATTCGAACAGTTTACATTATATTCTTAAATAATAATATAGTAATATAATAATATAATAATATATAATAATATATTATGTGATAATATAACTATAATATATTATATATTATAGTATAATTATAATATAATATAATATTATTAGATAATAATATACTGTAAACTGTTCGTTTCATTTCTCGCCGAACTAACCATAAATATATTTGTCATTCAAGAATTAGCTTCAGTCGGTGTACAAAGTATTCGTACACATTTAAAGCGGACTAATTATTTTATAATTAGACCAAGCGATCAAAATGTTTTTAGGACGTCAGAGAGATTAGTTCACTAAACAATGACTAAACAATCGTTTCTAACAATGATGTTCGATACTGCTAGAACGCACTTAGACCTCTACTTTCGATAACGAGTAAGACAGTGGTTCCACTTTTTCATTTTGCATCAAATAAGCTTGTCACGTGGGCAAGAAAAGAAAATCAATTTTGCTCCTCGTCGATCAACGAATGTTAACTTCGTGGAGCTGGTAACAGTTGGAGCAATTGGCTTGTAAATTACTGGAAAAATTAGAGATACTCTTTCGGAATTTATATGTATTTTATTGAAATTATTGCGCCGTTCAGGAGCACCGGAACAAGGGATGATTAACGAGATTCTATCAACCTCGTCGCCGACGTGACTTCAATTTTGTAAAATTATTCTTTTGCTTTGCAGACCCATGGTGCCTACGTGGAATAGTCGGACGACCGAACGAACGTAACCGTCAACCATAGAACCATTTTTTAACCACGGAACCGATCCGCATCATTCACAACAATACTAGTTTTACGAAGCAATCCGAATAAATCGAATATTTCCTACCCGTTCAGAATTTCTTTCCACCGAAAATTAACCGAGAGCGAGTCGTTCAACTTTCTCCTCCGACTCGCCGACCTATCCCCCAGGATTAGCTATCGTCGGCTCCGTACAGGAAAGCGCAGCTGAAGAGACAATCGTCGAGTCGAAAATACACTTATCGCTAAAACGGTCGATCGTAATTTTCCCTCCCCCACGCGTCTATTATTACAGATTCAAAGTGCCGCGCCAAGGAAAACAGAAAAACGGCCGAAAATTTCGAGCAACAACCGCGCGGTTTTCTAAACATTTTCCTAGCAGAGTCAGACACGAAGAAGCCGTCCGACAATTAAGGTGAGCCGGAGATCGTTTCGGGAGATAGGTGAAAATAAAAGGAAGGGAGCGAACGGATATAAAAGTCCCGGAAAAGACGGCCTCTCGGCGACGCGGAGTCTAAGCACTGCCGAAGTTTGGCGCCTGCGACACCTGCCTCCAGCGACTTAGCTTCGCATTTATTAGATTACTTTCGACCTGCGCGTACCTGTCCTTCGGGAGGGTACAGATAAAGTTAGACGAAGGAGCCTTCATTACCGAAAGGCGACGTCATAGTCTGCTGTGCATAAAGATAATGATCGGTAGCTGCAAGATTCGCTTTAAACGGTATTTGGTAAACGGCAATGGTGCAGGTTTGCTCTTGTAGAAAAATTAACGGTTACTTTGGTAATCGCTTCCTTCCTCGGGACATTCGAAATGTCTAAAAAAAAAGAAATGTCTAAAAACGCAGGAGTAGCCATACTTAGCTGGGATCAAATAGAAATGAAACGAAGATGTATTTTTTCGTTCGGTAATTCCAATGAATCGAAAATAATATAGTAACAATTATTATTATCATTATTATTACTATTATTGTTTATTTAGTATTTACGGGGAAATACCCTATGTTACGGGGATAAAGAAGATGCATTAACCCTTTGCGCTCGAGTGACGACACTGAGGCGATCCTGGAAATTGCTACACTATTTTCAAAGGGATTTTTACATTGTTAAGTTTGTCTGTATTCGATGAATTGTCAAATAATAGAATCAAGTGAAAACAATTATAGCAAATGTTATGAATGTTATATATATGAAATATTGTAGGTAGAAGCAAACGTCTTCATTTTCGCGTTAAAATAGTTCATAGTTGGCAGTCAAACAATAAAATAAGACCACATCAATGACAGGTCATTTAACCCAGGATTACCCGCGTAGAGGATAACCCGCTCGGAGAGCCCGCGTAAGTCTAAAACCGGGAAAACCAACGTGGGGTATCTAGGGCTGAGATTACTCATCTGGCTGCCTAGTATCGGGAATACCCGCGTGAAGGTCTAGTTGACCACTGCTATTGACAATTTTTCGTATACTTTTATTATTATTATTTATATTTCATTATTATTATTATTATTATTATTATTTATATTTCATTATTATTATTATTATTATTATTATATTATTATTAATTAATATTATTATTATTACCGTAAGGAGAAGAATTTGTATCAGTGTTTACAATTGATTGTAAGCGTGTTTACAGTCATTCGTCAAGGTTATGTCAAGGTTATATGAATTTTATGAATTTTCATACTGAAAGTCACGTTGGTTTCGTCTTGACCTCTGCTATCATATAGCGATAATAAAAATATGTCATTCCATTAAAAAGAAACATCAATAACCTTGAAATCTCAAAAAATATAACCTCGAACAAACTTTTTTGCCTATCATAATATTTACCCCTTTGAATCAACTAATGTTTTCCTCTGGCATTTTTTTCTGTCATAAAAAACAAACGAGATATTTTAGATGCTCGAATTAGGTGAGACACCCTGTATATTACAAGTAATATTTTATTACTGAAGTTAAGATAACTTCGAGAGCAAAGGGTTAATATTTTATAGTTTTTGTGTACATTCAAGCATATCTCAGTAAATGTGTGATGTGTAATTGATGATTTTCCTTCTTCGAGAACAATTTTTCATTCGGCACTCAGCATTTTCTACAAGAAGTCACCAATTTTATTGGCTCAAGTGACAGGGTCGACGAATCAGATCACGATCAGACCAGACCCTCCTCTTTCCAATAGCGCAGAGTACTTGTTATTTTCTTTGGAACGCGTCCTAAAATTATGCTCATCCGATACCGGAGGGTGGATAAGACTCGTCGTCGGTACACCGCCAAACTAAAAAACCTGTCCGGCCCAATCAGGATTAGATCGATCATAATAGGATGAGGTTTCACGGTGAATCGAGATCGGCACAGTTTTAAAAAGCCACCCACCCCTGTTTAACGAACCCCTTCCTTCGGCGGTCGACGAGGTGAGGGGAGCCATATTGTATTGGATTAAATTAAGCAGGGGGTCCGAGCAGATACCGTCGTATTATATGCAGAAAACTTGTGTGCCAAGTGAGTCGTGTTTTAGGGAGACTCGGAAAGGGGATCCAGGTTGCACTGACAGAGATCGGGGGGTTTTCGCGTTTGTTTCCGCATGTGACCCGTGTCACCTGCGTCTCCACGGGGTCCACTCTCCTGACGATCTCGATGGCTCTCTCGATCTTTTCAACTTGTATTTTTTTTTAGAGAAAAAGGGGACTTGCAGTGGCTGTCGCATTCTAATTTAGCCACTTATATTCTCAATTTTTTTATAGCATTTCATCTTATAATCAATTGGGCTTCGGCTTACGAGTAGTAAATTTTAAATCGTAAGATAAGGTATGTTTATTTACGAAGGTCTGGCTCTCTCGATCTTTCCAATTTGTATTTTTTTAGAGAAAAAGGGCACTTGCAATGGCTGTCGCATTCTAATTTAGCCACTTATATTCTCAATTTTTATAGCATTTCATCTTATAATCAACTAGGCTTCGGCTTACAAGTAGTAAATTTTAAATCGTAAGATAAGGTATGTTTATTTACGAAGGCCTGGCTCTCTCGATCTCTCCAACTTGTATTTTTTTAGAGAAAAAGGGCACTTGCAATGGCTGTCGCATTCTAATTTATCCACTTATATTCTCAATTTTTATAGCATTTCATCTTATAATCAACTAGGCTTCGGCTTACAAGTAGTAAATTTTAAATCGTAAGATAAGGTATGTTTATTTACGAAGGTCTGGCTCTCTCGATCTTTCCAATTTGTATTTTTTTAGAGAAAAAGGGCACTTGCAATGGCTGTCGCATTCTAATTTATCCACTTTTATTCTCAATTTTTATAGCATTTCATCTTATAATCAACTAGGCTTCGGCTTACGAGTAGTAAATTTTAAATCGTAAGATAAGATATGTATATTTAAATATACAATAAAAAAATCTGAAGAGCAGATGACTCACAGCGAGTAAAGAACAGATTGTTGTAGGGTGGAGGATACGGAGGGAATAGATAGCATATTAAAAAATTATGCCTGTTAATTAATCAAATATTGGTTCTTATAAAATATACACTAAAAAATTCAGAGGTCCAAAGCAAGATCTTATGCAATAATTTTTATTTAACTTTTTGTTAATCCCTTGCCTTTGATAAGTCTGACTCGTGATTTTTTTAACCTTGTTAAGTATGAACTTTGTTTCGTTCTTTCAAGTAGAAATTAAATTTTCTCATTTCACCGATAATTCAGCAGTAAATTAAATGTAATTGTACACACACACACACACACACACACACACACACACACACACACACACACACACACACAAATAAAAAAACATTTTCCTTTTCTTGTAAGGAATTATTACAATCGGGAAAATTCTGATCGTTGTTGGTTTGAAGAATTTGATTACTTTTATTGTAAGACAATGGTAATGGAGCAAATGTACAGCCTGTCCAGGATAGTTCGTCGAATGAATTGACTCTTAAAATCAAGTAAACAGTACCTAATGGTTAAACACGAGGCTGTAAATGGGGTGGCAGACGTTGTGGGCCACTCGAGCGGCACGTGTCGTGTTACAGAGCACTCGGCTACACGAGACGCGGACAATATGTCGACGCCACGTGACCGAAACAACCAAATTTTGACCGCGGGCTATTGTCGGATTCGATCGCGATAGCAATGCATTCCTCCGTCTAAGTCAGCGTCGAACAGATAATGAACAGCGCTTGAAATAAAAGAACAACGTCAGACAAATTTCATGCATTGAAGAAAGTACGAGATGCGCTCATATCGACGATCGGGAAAATTATTATTTTTTAATTAACAAAGAAGATTGTTAGTTGTTCGTGCCCATCGGTAAATAACCAGCGAGGACTCCCTGCAAATATTAATAATACATAAGCCAGCTTCGTCTCGTTGGGCGAGCTATTAGGGACAGACTTTTGACACTTGCAGAACCGCGACGAATCACCTTTATAGTTATCTCCCCGCAGCGGCGACCATAATTCAGGCTTCTCGCTCCGCAGCATCCAGCGCGTTATATAGAATCTCGTAAAAGGGCTCCGAACAATAAGATTTGTTACGTCCATGCCGCGGGGAGAGGGATCTGCGTCATTCGCGTCATCCTGAATCCGGAAGACGAGTATTTTTTCTTCAATTTGCGAGCGGACACTGGTCAACTTGTCCGTCCACGATTTATACTTAAATCTCTGTTTAATCCACTTGAGCTTCGCATTCGCTTACTGGACTACAGCATCCCTTCTATAGAATGCTGTAAATAGCAATTGTAGAATTATAATTAAATAATTGCTATTTATAAATGGACTGCTGATTTTTTGAGTATTGAAAACTTGAATAAGGACATTTCGGATATAAGATTGCTGACAAAATTAAATTACAATTTAAAGCGGTAAGAGGATTAAATCAAATTAAGAATGATAACATGTTATATGCAATTGAAAATTATTTAAAATTATTCAAGAAGGAAATAACCTTATATTTAGTTTCTGCTTATTACGATTAACAACTTTTTATTTTGCACATAGATATGAGTGAGTGTGCTAATAAAAATAAGATGAAATGCACCTGTCTTAAATTGCACACGTCTCAAATTCATTACGATTCCCTGTTACAATTTTTCTTATGATTTTTTAAACCGATGAAATGATGTTAGAGATAAAAGTTTGAGGAAATTGACCAGACAGGCGCTGGTTGCTGTCAGCCGAAGAAATTGTTACCCGAAGCGAGAACCACGGGGAAAACAATAAGACAATGCGTGGCGAGGTGCAGGGTGTTGCGGGCTTGTTCCGAGCATCATGGCACGACGTGGAGGGAGGCTGGCGATAATACGTAGATGATAATCGCGATATTAATATCGCATTGGGAAGCGCGCACATGCGTGCAAGGGCCCATTGGTCACGGCGGAACACTTGCTCGCTTGCTGGCTCGCGGTTCTTTCAATGCACCCTGATTTTAGAAAGAGACGAGCCGAGAGGGTGGAACCCTAACCTCGAGTCGAATCAGGATGCGGGCAAAACCGAAATTTATCCAGCCGGTCTGCAACTAAGAACGCACTGTTCAACAAATTCGGAAACGCCTTTCAATTTAGAAATTGTAAGAAAGCCAAAAACTCTACTCGATCCAGAAACTTCAATAAATCGAGAAATTCCATTGAATCCATGTAGAAACTTCAACGAATCCAGGATCTTCACCAAATACAAAAATTCAATAAATCTAGAGACGTTAACAAATCTAAAAATTCCACAAATCTGAAAATTCACCAAATAGAGTGCAGGTGACAGTTAATGTGGGGTGACCAATTGCTGTGTCTTTGGTTCGTTTTCGAGCATAATTAAATTTATATATAATAAAATAACTTTATGTTAGTTTATGTTATATTATATTATATTATATTATATTATATTATATTATATTATATTATATTATATTATATTATATTATATTATATTATATTATATTATATTATATTATATTATATTATATTATATTATATTATATTATATTATATTATATTATATTATATTATATTATATTATATTATATTATATTATATTATATTATATTATATTATATTATATTATATTATATTATATTATATTATATTATATTATATTATATTATATTATATTATATTATATTATATTATATTATATTATATTATATTATATTATATTATATTATATTATATTATATTATATTATATTATATTATATTATATTATATTATATTATATTATATTATATTATATTATATTATATTATATTATATTATATTATATTATATTATATTATATTATATTATATTATATTATATTATATTATATTATATTATATTATATTATATTATATTATATTATATTATATTATATTATATTATATTATATTATATTATATTATATTATATTATATTATATTATATTATATTATATTATATTATATTATATTATATTATATTATATTATATTATATTATATTATATTATATTATATTATATTATATTATATTATATTATATTATATTATATTATATTATATTATATTATATTATATTATATTATATTATATTATATTATATTATATTATATTATATTATATTATATTATATTATATTATATTATATTATATTATATTATATTATATTATATTATATTATATTATATTATATTATATTATATTATATTATATTATATTATATTATATTATATTATATTATATTATATTATATTATATTATATTATATTATATTATATTATATTATATTATATTATATTATATTATATTATATTATATTATATTATATTATATTATATTATATTATATTATATTATATTATATTATATTATATTATATTATATTGTATTGTATTGTATTGTATTGTATTATATTATATTATATTATATTATATTATATTATATTATATTATATTATATTATATTATATTATATCATATTATATTATATTATATATTACATTTTTTTATTAAAAAATAAATAAAATAGAAGAATAGAAAGATTTAATGTTTTATTCGATAAATATAAAGTTAATTATGCCGTAAAACAAACCGATGGCATAGCAACTGGCCACCCGACAATAATGAGTTACACTACCCTAATACTCCGAATAATTCATAAATAATTCTTGCCACCTTCTATCCACTTTCTTTTAATCCAGATGTATTTTAGAAATCAAGGAATTTCTGTACGAAAGAAAAAAGAAATTTTCAAGCAATTCTCGGCTGGTCAAAGACGAGGTTGATCATTAAGAGTGACGAGCATAGTTCGGAGATCCTAATGATCGAATTTTCAGAAGATCGTCGTGTGTTTATCGTCGACGATGCGTAAGAGGGGGCCGAACACTTGCCGCAGACTAGACGGGCACCGAAGAATGGCGAAACACTCGTAGAGCGGAGTTTCGAGGGACCAGAGACAGAGAATGAGAGAGGGGTTGGTACAGGGGGTTGGTACAGCTTGTGAACACTCGTGTCATTCCCTGGTCCGGCACCATTCACCCTGGATGAATCACGTCACCCGTGCTGCACGCGGTCCACCAAGAAGAACCATGCGTTTCTTCTGGTTCTCCTTCAGGGTGGCTTCCTTGTAATCTCCCTTTAATTCGATATCCGAATCTCCGCCCCCTTTGGGCCAGTCTATAGTCGAAGTTTAAGTTATGATCAAGCCGTGAATTAATTAATTTTATGATTAATTTTAAGATTAATTAATTCAATCTCTAACCGTACTGCCAATTCCCGTCGGTCATTGTTTCAGTAAATATTGCATATTTTTATATTAATAGGTGCAATTAAGTTTACGTTGAAACATTGCAAACGTGATGAAAATGTGTAGAGGATGACATGAATTTTTAAATAATTACATTAACGTATATTAATGTTGTGTGGAGCCACCATAAGCTGGTCAAAGGTTAAAACACATTGTGCATGGAATTGTTAAACGGAATACGCATTTTACTCAGTGACGAAATAAAATGTTTGTAAAATAGCATTCTCCAGATCGTTGATTATAATTTGTATCGCATTGCAATTATTGTTGATGGGCATTTACAGTTTGCTACGTATATTGGTACCGTTTGAAAGAATCGGAGAACGAAACGCGATTTGGATTTAGAAAGATTCCCGTCTCTATCTGGTGACGAAAGTGACATTAAACTCGGGGCTCATTAAGCGGAAATGCCTGAAGATGAGTCGTGCCAGATCTCTACCGAGGACTAAATAACGGCAATAACGTGGAAAGTCTTTCAACCAGAGCCCGATAAAGATCATCGTATTAAGCCGGAGCTACGTAAGCCGTCGAACTCAAGTCGGTACTAGCTATTAGCGCAAAAATACCTGCAGCTGCGTTATAACGACCTAGTCGAGGCGAAGATTAAGAGGGCCCATTAGGCTCCGTAGGAAGCCGCAAGGAAAATCGTAATTTCGAGCCGAGCGAGCAACAAAGTTCGCCGAAAATTACGCGGTGGCGGCGGCGGCACGCAAATCAGAAAATTCTTTGCTGCGCCGTGGGGAGAAAGTAGAGATAATTGATGGCTCGGATACGAAATCAACGATATAGAGAGAGGACCGCTGGTCCGTCCAGATCGGCGTACGATTACGCAAATCCGCGCGGTATCGCCGGATCCTGATCTACGCACGCGCGCGAGAAGAATGAGCCACTTAATTTCCTAATCAATCGTTGATTCAGATGCACCTTTCGGGACTGGGTCCCCCGTCCTCGACAGGACGCACATCGGTTTGCAGCTGAGCCAAACAATGTCCTTTCACATGAGGCTTTTATAGCCCCATCAAACATCCAGTGGTCCAGGGCTCCTGGTGACGGCCCTTCACGACCTGCGTGTCACGCCCGAATCTCCGCCGAGCGAAAATTCAATTAGCCACGCTCGAATCGAAGGTGTTGCGAAACCGAACAACATCCGATCGATCCTGGTACCTCTGCTTGTTCTCCGACCATCGGTCTCGATCTAGAAATCGATGTTGCGTTCGAGAAATCGTTGCAGGAAAAGCGGGCTGCAAGGCGAGTGCCATCTTTTTCAAAGCTGTGGCACAATGTTGCCGAGCAAAGTGAGCTTCGATGAAACGTGTCTTTGGTGAAGAACATTACGCAACACTATGTTGCATTTTTAATTAATTAATTATATATATAATAGTGTAATAATAATATATAATATATAATATTAATTATAATAATATAATAATGTAATATAATATATAATATTAATTATAATAATATAATAACATAATATAATATATAATATTAATTATAATAATATAATATAATATATGATATTAATTATATAATACTATTTTAAAATAATTATTACACTGCGGATTTTGTGAATTTATATGACAGAGATGGGTACGTCGAATACGAAACACTGAGAACATTGGAAGAATTTCAAAATATTGTTGCATTATCTTTAACTCAACAATAAAGGACAATATCTGTGTACTCTCGTACATTGTAATCAACTTAAACAATCTTCATTTTGCATAGAAATTCACAGTTCTGGTATACAATGCATAGTTTTCCCACACCCTTTTTCGTCATACAATTTCATATCATATAAGATTGCGAATATTTTTGTTCATAATCAATGCAATCTTCATTAAATTTTTTTGTTAGATCTCCGCCAAACAAATTTTCCTTCGGCATCCCCTGCTCCAAGAGATAAACACGAGACTCGTCACTAAATATTACTTTGCTCGAGTCCTTCATAGTGCAATTTGAGTGCTCCTTACACCATTTTAACCCTTTCTTTTTGTGTTCCTCTGTGAGTAAAGATTTTGTTTTTGCCTTCCGAAATGAGAAAAGCCCATTCCACTTAATCGATTTATGACAGTACGGTCGCAGACGCTCGAGGTCCGCTGTTCACTTATTTCTTTTGATGTCGCTCGCCTCATATTTTTAACAATTGCACGCAATTTTCTATCGTCTTTTCTACTTGTTACACGAGGACGACCACTTTTCTTACGGTTAGATACACCGCCTGTTTCATTATACTTCTTTTTCATATCCCTTATCGTATTCTGACTATATCCTATAATTGAGCCGTTTATTTTGAAAGTGGCATAAGTCACTTTACCGTAATGAAAAGTGGTGATTTTTTAATGTTTATACGAAATTATTTATACTGAGAAAAATATCAGTATCCTGAGATATATAAGATAGATATATAAATACAAGTAAATCTTGTCGAAAGTCAGCATCCATATTTTTAAACGTGTTAAAACGCAAACCCTTAAATATATCGACTTAAAAACAAAGTGACTTATGCCAGTTTTAAAATAAACGGCTCAATTTCTGCGACTTTTCTTTGACTATTACCTCACTTGAGAAGTTCGATTACTCTTAACTTTAAATCGTTTGAATACAACTTAACGATGACATATTGCACACGTCCGTCATACTTATCTGCTCACTGAAATGTTTTGTATTTCAGATGTCTCAACGGTAAAAATGTTTGTATACATTTTCACGGGCACGAGTTGTTGTTTATGCTTGCTTCCTCCGCTTGAGACATTCAAAAAGCTAGTTATTTGCACCATGATCGGAAACTTTCTTCCACATTCGTACTGATCGGAAATATTTTTTTCACATAACATTTTGCTTTCTTTGTGGTTTCTTTTTGATAAAGAATGAAAAATTACGTTATTTTCTATTTATTTGCTTCATTTAGATCCCACCGACATTTCGCATTCGTCTTACCTGCATAAAAAACATTTTACAACTCTAAAACGCGAATATTCTTTGTAAATTTTGTATAAGGTAAATTCTGTATATGATTGGAAACTTTTTGTCAAGGGTTGTAGAACTCTTTATAGCTGATTTAACTTCTTAAATCGCATCTTCATCAACGTTAATAATTTCAAAGATTTATTTGCGATTTATTAATCCTCTTACATTTAGCTTTGAGATTTTTCTTGTGCCAAGAGCTCACACCTGTTAATAAATAAATAATACAAATTAATATAAATACATTTTAACGATCGTTTTGGGTTGGCAACTAAAAAATTTGAAATAAAAAATTTTTTTTACTTGGAACGAAATTTAATCTGTAATGTATTTTCCATTTTGTTCGATGACCTTTTGCCACCTCTCTGACAACTTGAAAATTCCACGCTCGTAGAAAGTCTGATCCTTTTCGGCCAAAAACTGAGTTAACTGAGATTGTACAGCGTCATCATCATTAAAAGTTTTACCACGAAGGGAGTTGTCCAGGGATCGAAATAAGTGGTAATCCGATAACGCGAGATCAGGGCTATACGGTGGGTGTAACATCGATTCCCAACCAATATCCATCAATTTTTGCCGAGTGGACAAAGACGTGTGCGGCCTAGCATTGTCCTGCTGGAAAATGACACCTTTACCATTGACCAATTCTGGTCGCTTTTCCTTGGCCGCTGCATTCAATTTGTCCAGTTGCTAACATTCACGGATAATAAAAAATAACATAATAATAATAATAATAATAATTTTATAATATAACATTTACGGATATCATAAAAATGGGAGTGAGAGACATCTATAATTGAAATCGGCAATTACTTAGTTGCCAATCCAGTAAAATTTTAATCTCCTTTTTTCCGAAACGTCGCTCTCGATCTCGACAGTCCAACGTCTCTGGCTAAGGCATCGCAAGCAAGATGACCGCCGACGAAGGCTGCAGGAAATGCCCTGGAAAAGATGGTTCAACCTCGTTCAGGGAAATTTCGTCGAAGAGCAGAACAATGATAGCAAACCTAGACAGGCAGAGCAACAAGAAGTGGCCTACGTGGCTTATTAGCAAGCGTAACAGGGGTAGTGGGGGGGAACAATACGGTGCGAGCATCGGGGCGGGGAAAGAGGTTAATGAAAACCCTTGTGCGTTGCCACTGACCGGCGATTGTGAAAGATACCCGAGACAGAATGGGTTAGACAATCCGGCGCCAGACTCGGATCGGGTCTCGGTCGGAAACGGTACTCAATTCTTCTCTGCTGAGGGATACTTGGCAACGCACCCATGACTCTACCTGTAAACCAGGATCGTTCGATTAGCCGGCATCCTTGCCGAGGAATTTACAGGACCGTTTATTGTCTCTCTCTCGCCACATTTAACACCAATCAACTATTGATAGGGAATCCGGTAAAGGACAGGAAGTAATATAATTCATGGCACCGACGTTCCGGGCGAGTGATTTTTAACTCTGGTTCATTATGGAGAAACGACGTCGACGAAGGAAAATCGTCTCGGACTGGCGAATATACTTGTCGACGCGACGCGACCGATGGTACGGTTCTTGTTTATTTATTAACGCCAGACCATTTCAGGCAGTCCGCGAAACCTGCCGACCAATTAACCAGTTAGTTGTTGCGTCTCCTTTTCAGAGCACGCACCTATATGTGACGCGGGAATCAAGCGACGACGAGTATACTCGTCAAACAGTGTATCAAACAGTGTATCGTCGAACAAGTGTCGCTGTTCAAATAATAGATCAAAAAGACGGTTTTGTTTCAAATAAAATTAACAATTTCCCGTTACCAATATTTACTTATTCGCTTAACGTTAACATGTACTGCATACGTAATGAAACGAAAAACGCAAGAAAAATCAGACACTTATGAAAGTTAAACAATTTTCATTGATGTCGTAGAATGGTATTCAGCGAAACAAGGAACGATACATAATGGCAATATGCACGACGAACGCCAATATCGTGATACTTTTCTAATTTTATTTTTATAACAAACCGAACAGCATCGTGTAGGTTTGACCAAAAAATATTTTAAATATTTTGAAGTTTGAGAATATGTTTTTGTTTCCATTAAAATTACAATTTAAATAGCCAATGGCCGCTACTTTTTACGCACGACAAGTATACTCGTCATAACACAATATACTGCCTCTTCAAACTGGTTAATGACGTCAAACTGGTTAATACTTCAAATAACAGTAAAGTAAGGAGAAGAGTTTAAATAATAATAACGTGAAATATGAAATGATAATATAGTGGCGAGACGTTCACCCTCCGGCCCATAAATGTTCACCTGCACAACGGTCAGGATTTAGCCAGTCTCGGGTCGTGCTCTAAGGTCGAGACATTTTTTCGTTTAGGTTACATTAGAGTGTTCATACTATGCGTGCCGCTCTCGTGCCGTGTCATGCGGTCCGGCCAATACCGTGTACGCCAGGGTTGTCAAACTCAAAAGCAAACTTGGGCCAAATAAACAATGCTTAACTTTAGGTGGGCCGTAAAAAAAAAAGATCAATGTTCATAGAAACAAATATTTTTATTTTGACTAGTACATTGTAATAAACTCACATATAAAGTTAAATTATTGTTTACGTCCTGATACCTGTCTCTTATACACATCTATTTCTATTTTATTTTTACTTTGCGCCGGATATATTGACTGGGCCGCAAAAATGTTCATCTCGGGCCGCATGCGGCCCGCGGGCCGCATGCGGCCCGCGGGCCGCATGCGGCCCGCGGGCCGCATGCGGCCCGCGGGCCGCATGCGGCCCGCGGGCCGCATGCGGCCCGCGGGCCGCATGCGGCCCGCGGGCCGCATGCGGCCCGCGGGCCGCATGCGGCCCGCGGGCCGCATGCGGCCCGCGGGCCGCATGCGGCCCGCGGGCCGCATGCGGCCCGCGGGCCGCATGCGGCCCGCGGGCCGCATGCGGCCCGCGGGCCGCATGCGGCCCGCGGGCCGCATGCGGCCCGCGGGCCGCATGCGGCCCGCGGGCCGCATGCGGCCCGCGGGCCGCATGCGGCCCGCGGGCCGCATGCGGCCCGCGGGCCGCATGCGGCCCGCGGGCCGCATGCGGCCCGCGGGCCGCATGCGGCCCGCGGGCCGCATGCGGCCCGCGGGCCGCATGCGGCCCGCGGGCCGCATGCGGCCCGCGGGCCGCATGCGGCCCGCGGGCCGCATGCGGCCCGCGGGCCGCATGCGGCCCGCGGGCCGCATGCGGCCCGCGGGCCGCATGCGGCCCGCGGGCCGCATGCGGCCCGCGGGCCGCATGCGGCCCGCGGGCCGCATGCGGCCCGCGGGCCGCATGCGGCCCGCGGGCCGCATGCGGCCCGCGGGCCGCATGCGGCCCGCGGGCCGCATGCGGCCCGCGGGCCGCATGCGGCCCGCGGGCCGCATGCGGCCCGCGGGCCGCATGCGGCCCGCGGGCCGCATGCGGCCCGCGGGCCGCATGCGGCCCGCGGGCCGCATGCGGCCCGCGGGCCGCATGCGGCCCGCGGGCCGCATGCGGCCCGCGGGCCGCATGCGGCCCGCGGGCCGCATGCGGCCCGCGGGCCGCGAGTTTGACACCCCTGGTGTACGCCGTAGCACCCTTAACGTGCCAATTTGCACGTCTACTTTCTTCTACATTCACTCGGGTTTGCGAATTGATTGCTACGAAATATCGGGAGAATAGTAATAAATTTAACGATAATCTTGTCCGCTGAATTAATTGACTGATATGCGAGAAGGATAATTGGAAATCCTATCTCCCAAACAAATTTTCCCTGACACTTCTTTTATTGAAGTTTGTGAAACACTTTTAGAGATCGCAAGCAATTTGCAATCTTTTCTGTCAGAAACAAACGGATTTGTTCCACATTTTTGTACTGTCTGGTTATTAATTATTGGACCGCGGATCTTTATGCAAAATACAAACTGCTTCAACGGCAAGGAACAGTAGGTACACTCCCGGACAAAAGGAGTGTATCTACAGCATAATTAAAAATTAACGTAACTTTTATTTATTTAACGATACAACCAAGGTTTTGTTTCTGCATACACAAATTAAATAAAATTGAATTTCGTCAGTTAAAGAATTCTATTTGAAATAAGAAAAGAATTTGTATGGCGATACAGTGAGATCAACGAATGATATTTAATGCTTAATATTTTTTGCTTTCTCCTTTACATTTAATAACAGTCATCATTATCTGTGACAAAGATTTATCGAGCGTTTTAATAGTTTTTTGCTGTAATTGCTCCCACTCGTTTTAGACTGGCGAAATTCAATTTTATTTCATTTGTGTATGTTTATAATGATATTCCGCAAGTTTGCATAGAAACGAAACCTTGGTTTGCAACGTTAAATAAGTATAAATTACAATAATTACGAAGCGTGCTACTTTCTCGTCCCGGAGTGTATAGAAACGTAAACATTCTTTAATAACCTTAAGGAGTTGAAATTAGTGTTCTAAATGGCAAGAATTCATCAGGTCATATAGCGTTTAGAATAATCAGGGAAACAGGACAATAGCCTTTAATAGAGCCATTGACAGGAATTCAGACCAGGTATAGCGCGACCCTTTATGTCCAGAAGTTGGTTCGTTGAGTCAGAAACCGTGCAATGATAGCGCATCTTGTTGTGAGTCAGGTACTACTACTTCTAGTAGTGATCTGATATTTCTGAAAAATATCAACTTCAAAACCATCGACTTCTACAGCTGAAAAATATCCAAAAAACAATTATTGAACGAATCACTCCACTAAAACGAATTATCTTCTCGTTTCCTTAAAAATCCCGGTGCATTCGTTCATATCATAATTCCTCATTAAAAAATAACTCCTCCCCGAACCTAGTTGCTGGAACAGAATTTCGTAAAAATTTACAAAATTTGATAAGACCGAAGATTTAAAAAAAGAATATGCGTAAATGCACTGTTGCAGAAATTTTGTGGAAAAAGTGACAAATAGGGAGAGCAACATTGAGATGTTCAGCATCGAAAGAACACGGTTCAATTCTGCAGGGGTTGAACGGATACACCTTGCGTTCAGAGCATAGTCCGGGGGTCATTGAAGTCCCCACCACGAAACCACAATATCCCCACCCCCAAGATACGGCAGCGCGTCAGGATTCGAGGATTGGTACTACGTAGGGCCGTATTACCCCTGGTAGGCTTTTTAGATACAATTACTAGTATACCCTGAGCACAGAGACAGAGAGAGAGAGAGAAAGAGAGAGAGAAAGTTAGGGTGCATTGGGCCGGAGGGAGGGGCAAACATCCCCCTGCTAGTCTCGATCCGGGGTACGAGCTCTCCGAATATATTTAAGCCACGTGCAGTTCACAGGTCGCACTCAGTTGACATTTCGACACCAGGATATCGTCTCGAAGCCATTGCCATCGGCAAGCTTCGCAAATTCATCTTGCGGGAGTGTTACCTTCGGTAATTACAAGAACGTTTCGTGCAGAACTGGATTATCAAGTGTCGGACAATCGGAAATTAATCATCCAAGTAATTGGATAGGCGTGGTGCAACATTGCTTCGCTGAAGAGTACGGTACATTTGGATTACTGACGATTTTAAATGGAGTCTACGAACGCGATCTTGTATCCACCGATCGTTCCCGATGGCGCCTTGATGATGAGCATCGAGTCGCTTGACAGGAACCCGCTGTCTCGCCTTTTCGTCGAGAGACCGATTGTCAGGGCTGCGAGCATACTGCGCAGAGATTCCTCCACCGAGACCATTGACGTCAACAGACTGTGTCAGACGAACACGTCAGTGATACAATATGTAAGATGAAGACTCAAGAATCTTTCTTTCCTCGACCTTCTCTTCTTCTCCAGATGGTACCATTTTTCAAAGTTAGACTGTCGTCTATAAATAGTCTAAATTGCTCTCATTTATTTTCCCTTTGCTTCGGCCGTAGCCCTTTCTTTACAGCTTAGTAACATTTTCACGTGATTTGCATCATTCCGCGATCGCATGAAAGAAATATTCGAGACATAAAAAGTCTACGGTACGCTATTTATTTTAAGCAGTACGGTTGGTAATTACAGATATAAATAGTTCCCTTATCGGGAACTAGCCAGTTATTTATAATTTAGAATGATTTTTAAAAATTCAGTGACTGGTCGAAAGGTAAAATCGCTGGACGCTCAGCCTGAATCATTGCAAAACCAGAAGTGATAGTTAACGAAATCCGAATCATGTGATTGCAGGTCGAAATCGCAGAATCCGATGGCCGCCTCTACAGCGTAGACGGTCTCGTCAGCACGCCATGTTGGCTAAAGATCGTCAGCCTAGCCAAGGACTGTCACAGCTGCAACGTTCTACTGATGACCACCGACAAAGGCGTGATCTTGAAGGCCATCAGAATCATCACTCCGGGCGAACCGTTACTGATGTGGTTCACGGAGAACATCCTAGCTATGATTAACATGCCATTTCTGACGCCCTCGAACATTCAAGGTAGCATCCCCTAAGATCATCGGAAACCAAACTTAGAGACCATAATTTCAGCTCGTCAAAAATGAATCTTCTTTAACGAAGCCTCTCTCGTTGATTCCAGGCCAGAACCGCTACATCTGTCACATGTGCCAAAACCTGTTCGAATATCCAAACCCCCTGAAGCTTCATCTAGCATTAAAGTGTAACCGACTGGACAGCCAACACCTCTGGTCGGTGCTCGCGAAAGAGTTCACTCTCTCGCCGAGGAGTAGCCTGTCCCTGAGCCTCTTCCCTCAGTCGTCGTTCAGGTTCGAGCTGACCAAATCGCCGCGGTCATCTCCCACAAGGATATCGATCCAGGTGGAAAGCATGGACTCGAATCCTTCGTTGATCCACAACTCGCCCGGCTCCTCGAACGAGATATCGCCGTTGTCCTCCGATCCATCCCCTAACTCGCCGGCCGCGCAAATCTCGCCAAACCCTCAGTTGTCGCCGTTAAACGAGGAGCTGAACTTCCGAAATTCTGCGTTCAAGCCCTACATGAACCAGGGCAACGTGTTCAACAATGCCTTACCCCCGGCCATAGAGGACACCGTCTTAGTGCCGTACAGTGCTCAGCCGAACGGAGGACCAACGGATCCGGACATTCATGCTGCTCATATGGAAACGTTCGTCAGCAATCTGGGGAAATCGAAGCAGGGTCACCTGTGCATTTACTGCGGCAAAGTGTACTCGAGGAAGTACGGACTGAAGATCCACATCAGGTAAGAAGAATTGCTTTGTACGTCCAAACTCGCGAAGTGCAAACGTTGCCATCGGTCTCCGAAGTTAAATTTAGGAGAGCCTCGTTCTCTGCTTTTCGTTCTGTTAATTATTTCTTCGCATCTTTGCAGAACCCACACAGGTTACAAACCGCTGAAATGCAAGTACTGTTTGCGCGCGTTTGGTGACCCAAGCAACCTGAACAAGCACACCAGGCTGCACGCGGAAGATACACCTTACAGGTGCGACCTCTGCGGCAAGGTGCTCGTGAGAAGGCGAGACCTCGAGAGACATCTGAAGTCGAGGCACCAGGATAACACCGACCAGGCCTCGGACTCCTCGTCCGAAGGAATCGACGTTTGAGACGTTGAAATGACATAATAATAATAATGGTGCTAACCCGTTGGACCAGCGTTCTATTACATTCTTGACGATGAAACGCAATGTTCGTTTGGAAGCGAAATGTTTGCGTCCGAGTAAGTAGCGATCTGCGATATGGAAGTTGTAGATCGTGAATTAGGTTCATTAACCAGTTGAACCGTGCAGGATAACATGGAAGATCGAGTATTATGTGATGAATATTCCAATTACTTATGTATAAATATGGATTCGATGAATTCGATGAATAATAGTATGGATATTTTTTGTAACAATTAGGGTAAGATTATTTAAGCGTGACATCGTTGAGAAAAATCAGCTACAGCTGAGCTGTACTGAGCATCGTTCATGCATCATTCGTCGTAGGACTACGTCTGAGACTATTTTTAACTGCCTTAGCGTTAAATTACTGTTATCTCAGTTTCTAGTCGGAATATTAAAATAAAATTGTTATACCATATTCATCCCTATCTCCCCAGTAAGCAATTTGTCCTGAATTTGACGTGACCGCGCGCTGTTATGTCAAATACAGTAAATTCGCCCCAATTCGCGGTCAGATTTGATAATTTTTATAATTGTTGACAATCGGTAAGTATGAAAACGAGCCGCAAGGCTCGGATAATCGTATCTCCTCTTCCCAAATTGTCCAAATTGTCCGTATTTGGTGCCAACGCCTTGTCCATGCCAAATACGGGCCAAATTCAGGCCAGATCTTGTAGCACTGTCACATCTGCCACACCAGTACCACCGACCTGTCCTCTTCAAATAAAATGTTTCGCGACTAGATTGCTCTAAGTTTGCTACTGATTTGGCAACGCAAAGCATCTACTCTCAAATACCGAGCCAAAACCGAAAACAGTGTTTTTGCACTAAATTGACATTTCAAAATCTGATCAAACGCAGCTGCTTTCAATAATCATTATTAATACTTTCCATAAATAAAACAGCCCGAAGGTAATCTTAAAAAGGTCACTGACAAATGAAATTACTTTAAACAACTAGAAACAATAAATTAATTAAATTGCTTCGTGCTCGAAAAATCTCTGATCAATAAGGAATTACAGTTTTTAAGGATTGCGATATTTTTCCACATTTTTAAACAACTAACTTAATGTTAATTATTTAAAGTATACATCGTATTACAAATTGCAACGCGTAAATGGGCAATTCTTTAAACAAATATTCTATTTCATACCTGCAGCCGGTGATTCGTTGGCGCTGGTGATTTCGCTATCAGGCTGCATAAAACTTCAAAATGGCGCCATTTCACGTAGGTGCGAAACGTTGAAACTAGTAAACGAATTGCTGATACAGGGCGTCCCAAAATTATTATACAAACGGGAAATGAGAGGTTCCTGAGGACATTTGAAGTAACTTTTTCCTTAGAGAAAATGCAATCCGCAGCTTCGTTTACGAGTTATTAATGAAAAACAATGACCAATGAGAAACGAGATTAGCTGGCGCGAGCCGACCAAGCCAATGAACGGAACTGGACTGCTCGTTGATTCGGCCATCTTGCGCCAGCTGATCTCGTATCTCATTGGTCACTGTTTTTCGTTAATAACTCGTAAACGAGACCGCGGATTGCATTTTCGCTAAGGAAAAAGTTACTTCAAATGACCTCAGCAACCCCTCATTTCCCGCTTGTACAATGATTTTGGGACAACCTGTGCAGCTGCAAGAGAATGTGCAGTATGTAAAAATGAGTATGCGGACGCATGAATGCGATAGTAACGAGGTAAATACGAATGCATGGTTGCGTGCGTGAAGCAAATGAGTGATGGGACGCCCTGATCGATAAAGTAAATTCTCCATTTTTTCCACGTTTTTATAGTCGTTGACAATCGGTTACTATAAAAACGATCCGCAAGATTCGAATAATCGTATCTCCTCTTCACAAATTGTCCATTTTTGTGCACAATTCGAGCGGAGAATTTACTGTATTTCCAAACGTGAATTTGCGAAATTGTGACGTGCCTCGCCATTTTAAGTCAATGGCGGAACTCATCGTAACCTTTAGCAAGGGCGAAAGGGTGCAGCTGGACACCGAGGAGAGGGATCAACGTGGGCCTAATAGGGCCCATAGTAGCCTTCAGCCGAAGGCAAAGGTAGCCGATGGAAGAAAAGTCTACCGTGCAGGTAATAGACGTTCGTTGTTCTAATTCCAACAGGATTATGAATTACTGCTCAGGTGAATGCCGTTCGCTGAGAAGGGAAAAGGGTTCCTGTTTGACAGCGGAGAAATGTGGCACCTACTTAAGAACCTGTACCTTAAGAAACGAAAGCCTGAGGTCAACTGTTTACAGAATCCTTTCCCACAGGAAGATTAGTTTCACCGCAAGCTAAAGTTTGTAATGGATAACTTAGGAATAAGTTTAGATACTTTGCTGGAAACCGATGGTCCAGTAAGCTTTGTAAAAGAATCTTGCGTTGAATCTTGCTGTATAATATAAGCGAAATTAACGATAGCGCAGGTAATCGACTTGGTGACATTAACGCATCATCATTAAATGGGAATTGTAGGCGCTAGCGTTACATTTGATGGCTTTCCGAAGAAAATAAAGCTTTTGGTTGCGCCGGCTACCAAATAGCGAAAATGCAATTCGCGACTACGTTGAAGAGTTATTAACGAAAAGCAGCGACCAATGAGAGGCGAGATTAGAGCCTCTATAGAGGCTCTAATGGAGAGGCTCTAAGCTTATTCAATATGAAATTGATGCAGCCGCAGAGTAAACCAGAGCCTATTTCAGACATAATGAATATTTTTGCAGATCCAATAAAAAATAGATAATGTAGAGTCATTGAATCTAAATTCTGATTTGCCGCACAATGAAAAAATAAAATTTAAAAAAATGTTTAGAGAAAAATATATATTAAGATGACGCCGAGCTGAAATTAATTTTGAAAGATTGTAAACCCTTTTACAGTTTTTCACGACGAATTTCGTATATGGAAAAAGGACAATTGATTAAAATATTAGATGATCTTTCGATCGAAGGTATGATTTGAACCAGTGAATCCGAGTATGCGTTTCCGATAGTTTTAGCTAAGAAAAAAATGGAGAACGTCGCTCATGCGTCAATTTTCGGATTCTAAAATGAGGATCTGCGGATTCTGCACGCGAGAATTACCCCCTTCCGTTGATCGAGGACCATTTAGATATGCTATGCGGAAAAAGATATTTTAGTTTATTGGATTTGAAAGACGGGTTCCATATCACATAAAATTAGCAGGGGAGTCAATAGAATATACGTCATTCGTAACGCCGTTAGGACAGTTTGAATACCTTCGCGATTTCGAAGGTATGTTGTCTATAATTCAAATCGAGCGATTTTAGATCGCCAATCGAGTATAGCGTTTTTACAGGTATCACCTGGGTCTGTGTATAAAAACTCCAGCACGACGTCAGTTTTTACAGAGTCAAACTCAGCTGTTCGAGCTCGACACCGGTCGAGGTGGACGCCCCGCATTGTATACATTTGACAGTCTTTTATTCGCAACGTCGCTATGTATTTGTCGACTGGGCCATCCTTCCAAGTAATCCCAATATCAAATCCGTTTACCTATTTTCCTTGTTTTCTACGCAGCGCTGTTCGTTGGGGCATTGACCCTATGCACTGTAACGAACGTTCAGCGCTGCTTAGTCCATTTTCAAATTCCCCACTTTTTTATCTCTTCTTTACCTCTCCTGGCCCACGACAACATAAACAGGCCTGTATAACGCGATCTAGAGTAGCGAGTTATTTCTAATTACGCTGGTAATCTTTCTGCACTTGCAGTCTAATTCTGCACTGTTCTATCGCGCTTGCAAGCTATCGAGCTTGACGATTCATCATCACTGTTCATCATTTTATTGTACATTTCTTTCCGCTGCATATATCTTAGTTGATTAAAATATCTATGGTTCATTACATCAGCGTTTACATTCATACAATCCACTACTCTTTTTTGCAATCACACTAGAGTCCTCAATAGACAGTAAATTCTTCCTAATTGACGCTCAGATTTTGCACGAAAATGGACAATTCGAGGAGAAGAGATGCGATTATGCGAGCCTTGTGGTTCGTTTTTTATAGTTGTTGGCAATCGATAAAATGAGCAATTAACAATATAAAAGCGAGCCGCAAGGCTCTCGTCTTTCCAAATTGTCCATTTTTGTGGACAATCTGAGCGTCAATTGGGGAGAATTTATTGTATCTCAACGAAATTTTCGCAGATCTGATAGGATCGGGCGATGTCGTCGTATACAGTAAAATTTCTCCAATTGTCCCTCAGCTTGTAAGCAAAAATGGATAATTTTGGAAGAGGAGATAAGATTGTTCGAGCCTTCCGACTCATGTTCATAATTGTTGACCATCGGTGATTATAAAAACTAGCTGCAAGGCTCGAATAATTGTAATAAAATTTGGTCGATGCAGTGAATAATTTGGCGCGAACGTGGCGTCACTTCCTCGGTGACGTCACACAGAGCCGAAAGTTATTTTATTGCATTGTGTTGGAATAAAATCTATGTCGATATCCTTTATCTACAGAAATCCCTTACAGAGCAAGGACCTGCGAAAAGCGCCACTATAGATAGTGGCAAAACGCTCAAACTGTTAGCCAAGTTACCGACAGAGAAAATTCTCTGAGGAAGAAACTGGTGGCACCATCTGGTTTCAATCTGTTCAATTCGACGGGCCAGAGGTCTCAGTGTTCTACCACGGATGGCGCAATCGGTATAAAAATGAAAATTGTCTGCGAGTTTGACCGTTTCGCCACAGGTGTCGCAACAAGTTCAAAATTCAGACCGGATAATTCCACCCGGAATTCGTATTCACCCCCTACGTCATTATTTTATTAAACTGCATTCTCCCAGCATTTTACATATACATTTAATAATTGATCGCGTTACATTATACCCTCTACTTTCGTTCTATTTACTTGCTTTGTGGCTTTCTAAATGGAAGATTAAACATTAAACCATTTAATCAACCGAGCCAATTTACCGATGATAAATAACACGGTCGTGTCAGGCCGGTTCGATATTAAAGGCATAGCAAACCCCGAGATCGCGTTTCAATGGGTCGCTCGTCGAATATTTCCGATTTAAAAGTTACCCTCGGAAAAATTAATTAATTTAGCCCCGAATCGGATTTTTGAAACGGACTTCGGTAATGGAATAACCGGATCGATATATTTAATATTCATTCCCGCGAAATTAGTAGACGTAAGTTAATTTCGAACCATTAGATTAAGGTTATATCTGAAACTTTTTAAAGATCAATCGAGTTATATCTAAACAGATTAAAGTTCACTTGAACGCTACTTTCACCCCAGTCTGAAAAAGTCTAAAAAAGATTACTTTCGCTCGGTGGAAACTTTTAAAAACGAGAAGAGGATTCGGAAAGGGGACGAAAGACAACTCGATAAAATCTGAAACGCTATCGTTAACGGGATCGCTCGAGCATCCCTTATCGA